TGCTATCTTTCGGACAATGTCCACTACTTTGATATCTGGAGGTTTGAAATGATGGTTTTATTTAGTCCCGAGTTACACACGAGGAAATGAGCAGGCTTCAGAAAATACAGTTCTCAACATGAACATAATGATAAACACAAGCTCTGATTTTTGTGTTAAAGGCTTTGTGTTGCTACAGTTGGGTAACGGGACCTTAATTTTTTTCACTTGACACATGATACAAAGCCTTCGAACATGGGAATTTTTTTGTTTTTGCTTTAACGGTTGGATATGTACCGTATACACAGCAGATAAACACCCTGACTGAATTAATGCATTTTACGATTTGGAAATGAAAGCATTTGTCTATAAATCAGTGTGAATCTGTATTACATCATCGTCATCAGTATTATCATCACCATTACACCATGCAATGATTTACATTTCCATAGAATTACAGCACCGGCGCTCTGCTCAGGTCATGAGTTTAAATCCCAGCACCGCCAAGCTGCCACTGTTGGGCCCTTAAGCCTCAACGGCTGAGACGTATAAATGAGATAAATGTTAGTCACTCCGGATAAGAGCGTCTACCAAATGCCGTAAATGTAACGCAATTATCGTTACACAGTTTAAACTATCAGACTGTTACACAGCATACTTTAAATGCATAGTTGCAGAATAATTGCTGATATAAATATGAATTCTTACAGTTTAATGTAATGTATACTGTTACATAGTGTAAGCTGTTGCAAATGCATATTATGATTAAGCATGGGCTCGGCCACCAGCGTTGCCGTCTTAGCGATTTTATTGCTAGATTTGATGACTTTTTAGACTTCTTTATACAAAAAAAGCCTAACAGCACATCTAGCAACTTCTCGAGCAGACATTAGTGACTGTCCTGCATTCGATACGGCTCTCCAGCTCACATCACAAGTGCTGGTCATACAGACTTGAGAAAGTAGTTTCCGTCAACTCACCACCAGTGTTTAAAGCCTGACAGTTGCACTTACACAAGCCTATGTTCCCACGACCAATCACTGATCACTGTTGTTCCCAACAACCAATCACTGGTGACCATCGTTCCCGATGACCAATCACTGATCGCCGCCGTTCCCGACAACCAATCACTGATCGCCGCCGTTCCCGACAACCAATCACTGATCACTACTGTTCCTGTTGCTCTCAGACGTGAGAGTTTTATCAGTAAGGAGACGTGTCAAATTATTACAGACGTCCCCTGATAAACTAATCCCTTCTGAATAGGGCTTCTGTGTCTACAGAAAATCTTCGTTCTTCCTTTAACCAGTTTTAAAACGGAAAAGATCATGAGGATTCAGTGAATATGCAGATGAAGCCGTGACGTCACCTGATGCCGTCTGGTGACATTCTGAGCATGCACTGGCTACTTTCCCCTGAAAAGAGCTTGGCAAAGAGCTGCTGGGGGCAAATACTTTATAGCACACAGCATTACCTGGATGCTGCTTGACCACGATGGGCTGCTGCTCCTTCACATATCGCAAGTATGCAGTCAGAGGCCTTTTTGGAGGACCACCAGCTGTAGTGCTGAAGTTTTTTAATGTTGGAACGACACAAGAGCACCTGCAAACCCGAGATATCACACCCACACACACCCACACACACACACACACACACAATTATATTAAACAAATCTCCTTCTGCAACATGCGGGTAAACAGCTCACGAAGGAGTCCACACACTGATTTCTCTCTCTCTCTCACACACTGATCTCTCTCTCTCTCTCTCTCTCTCTCTCTCTCTCTCATACACACACTGATCTCTCTCTCTCTCTCTCACACACACACACTGATCTCTCTCTCTCTCTCTCATACACACACTGATCTCTCTCTCTCTCTCTCACACACACACACTGATCTCTCTCTCTCTCTCATATACGCACACTGATCTCTCTCTCTCTCATACACACACTGATCTCTCTCTCTCTCTCTCATATACGCACACTGATCTCTCTCTCATACACACACACTGATCTCTCTCTCTCACACACACACTG